CACCTGTCTGCAAATATAGAAAATTTTGTGTAATAATGTCTTCAAAAAATAATATTCTAAACTACTATAACATACACAAGTATTGTATTGGTTAACAAGCTTAACTTACGTATACTTTAATTACATTTAGTATAAAAATAGAAAAAATATGTATACGAGAATAATGAGATTTCCTTGTATAGAGAGAGAGAGAATTATGTATTTTATTTAAATGTAAATAACAATGTGTTAAATAAAAGCAGCTCTATGCTCAAATTTGGGTCACTAATTATACCTTAATCACTACGCATGGATGACAAAATAAAAATATCATTCTTCTCCTAAATTTAATCATTCTCTATTGTTGTTGTTGCCATCCATACACAAACCTGAATTTTATTAGTATTCTATCAGTATTGGACCAACAAATCATTAGTGACAAATTGTCATTAGTGACATCAACGAAGCTAAAATTGATTAGACAGTGACTGCCAAACTAATCAATAATTCTAACTGATTAATGTGATAATACAATGTGTTTTACAAAATTACTATCTAATAAAGAGAGATTGCTTGCTTGCCCAGCACAATTAACAATTAACTGTCACCGTCCATTACTTGGACCGGACGAAAGTATGTAAATGGACGGCACTGATTGGTGCCTTAAGAAAAACCAAGAGATGGACTTTCACACCAAGCAAACAGGCGGCCCAGAGTTTGACCAGAAAACAAAAAGAAACGGCCCAAACTTGGAGGGACCAATCCTTTGAGGGTAATTATTCACTACTTTCCAGACCGCAACAGTAGGTGGTCTGGTCTGCATCTCCTGATGGTGAAGCTTGTTTGAACTTCCATATTTATCCGACTCGTGATTGGTATATACCAATGCCAGTTGGTGGTCCGCAACACAGCTAAGCTAAGCTTGCCCAATGTTTGACTTTCACCAAACGGACACACGTGAGATCAATCACGTCACGTGGTTCCAGTTGCTAGACGACAGCGCTTGGCACTTCAAAGCTGTCGTATTGTCGAGAAAGAGCAAAAGGCGTTTCGGGAAACGTACAAGTTGAAGAAGAAGATTAGAAGAAGCGAAATAAATAAATAAACGTTTTGATGAAACAAGTGCCGTCAGATCGAGTGACGTGTCAAAACCATATGGCACCCAGAGAGAGAGCGGAGAGTAGCGCACTGCGCACACAACAATTTTTAGGTATGGGGATTGGGAATTGCTACACTACGACATGACGTTCTTTCGATCGTACCCCACGTCTCCTCAGAAAGCTGAAAACATTGGGATTTTAATCTTTGGAAAACCTTGCACTGTAAATCTGACAAAATATACGAATAATAATGAAGAAAAAAGAATCTTTCACTTATTAATTAATTATAAATTTGTATATTGCATGTAAATTAATGGTCTCACGTTCGAACTTTTATGATACACTGATATGTAAATTAGCAGTCTCGGGTTTGAACTCCCATGACAATGTATGTGAGAAAATTCCCTTTATCTTTTCTACCTTTTACAAAAACTTGAAATAAATTTAACTTCTTTTCGCAACAAATTTCCTAAATGACAAAGTTGTTACATTTTTAGAATATTCGTATTGGACGGTTATTTTTTTAGAAAATTAGTAAAATACCCATTCCCAGACATAATTCTATAAAGAAACCCTATACCATTCAATGTATATAAACACACCCAAAATAAACTCAAAAATTGACAGCTGTCGATTTCTTAAATTCTACAGCTATATTTGATTACTATTTTGCCCTTTTGCTTTATTTATTAATCAACTCAATCTTCATTAACCAGCATATCGATCTTTCTTCTTCTTCTTCAATAATGGCGACATTCATCGAGCTCTGCTTCTAGCTTTTCTCCTAGTTCAATTCTCCATTATATCTTCATCGTCTCCACCACAGCCCTCGCAGACTCCATCGCTGCAACCCGCCGCCGATTCACCTTCGCCCAAGACTCCATCGATGATTTCCCTTCTTCCATCTCCGTCGGACGCTTCAGTTAACGCACCACATCCTTCTTCGCCTCCTGCGCCACCGCAATCATCTTCGTTCCAATCTCCGTCGGCCGACGACGCTTCCAGTTCCTTCTCCAGCACCGTCGAATCCGAGCGACGTCAACCACAACAACCTCGGACGGAGACGGAGCTAAGAACTCATCTGGAGGAATGAGCACGGCAAAGAAGGCATAGATCGTTGGATAACATTCGTCGATCTTAGTACAGATACGCCGCCAGGAGAGAGATTCTATGAAGAACTACTCATAGTCTCTCATACGCAAAAGCTCTTAGAGGTTACGGTGAAATTTTTAATTTCTCGTATTTTTTGTTGTTGTTAATTTATGTGTTTGCTTAGTGTATGTTTGAATTTAGGTTTTGGCGATGGTGATATGGTGATTCAATTTGATTCTTCATTCTTTGGCACACCAGCGATGCTAGAGTTGGTGGTAGTTAGAATTTTGGGATGAGTTCTTGGCATAAAATACTTAATTAGTCAATGTGAGTCAGTGATGAATTGCTTTTTCTATTTTAGAATGATATAATAATTGGAATTAGTGATTTAGAATTCATTATGCTTGTTTTTCTCACTATTGTTGACTTGTTTGGTTCTATCTGTGTATTCTATCTAATGTTTGTGAGCAAATTGCCTTCTTAGTCCAGTGGTCCTCACTCCTCATGTGTCTACTTGATGCATTTTGTTCGAATCCAACTGTAAAGTATGCTATTTTATACAAAAAGCTACAGGAACCCATGGCTTGCTAGAAAGTGTGTCCTTGGATGAAAATTTTGTGTGTCCATATTGTGCTTGCCATTTAATAGCTTACTCTTTTCCCTTTCCAACAGGTTACAGCAACACTATCTCTTGCAGCAGCCTCTGCTGGCATAACTATGTTGTACTTTAGTGACTTGAGCCACTGCAATTTTGGAGAGGAATGCCAAAAATACTAGATGGCAGTTGCATTGGCGTACCTAAGTTGGGTAACAATTGCAATTTATTCTCTAATTATGCTCTGGCTATTGGCAGCATGTTAGACCACTTGTTTGTATAGGCCATAGGATTTGTTTCATCTCATTGTAGCCAGTCATATATATATATATATTGTAGTGTCAATAGAAAAGGAAACAAACTGGATAGAACATAGCAATACAATATTAAAAACTTACTCTCATTATGTTGTCTTTCCGCTGGAAGAAGTGGGATTAGAGTTGAGAAACAATTGTATCAAACTGGAATTATAAAATGGATATGCATTTACTTGTAAAGTTGAAGGATTAACAAAAGGCATTACTACTTTTTCTGTCGAATTTGTCCAAATTGATGATGATGTGAATTGGTTAGTGGCCGAAAGATCCTCATGAGTTTGTAATATTATTAAGGAGAAAGGCAGAGAGTGTATGCTTTTTTACTTCCAGTTTTCCATTATGAGTTAGCTAACAATGATTTTGCATACAAGAACTTAAACTACATATCTGTATTGTTGGTGTGGCATCTTGCCACTACATCTTCATTTTCTTTTCTAATACAAATTGAACAAAAGAAAAGAAATTTGATAATTACTATTCTTGGATTTAGATTCTCAGTGATCTAGGTTCTTTGTGATTTTAATGCGCAAAACACTGTTTAGTGTTGAGTTGGTTTTGATGTTTGGTATTGTTTGGATTCTTTATCGTACCTATTATGCAAATGAAATGATGTACTTAACTTCCAGTAAGTGGTATGAACAGTTGTTATACTGTTCATACCCTGCAACTGAGTTGATTTCTATGACATAGTATTAACAGTGTACTTCTATGACATAGTATTAACAGATTTTCAGTAACAAAACATAATGCTCTATATTTTGCTCTATATATAGCTGTGCACTTGAAGTTTATGATATGCATAATGTGATTTTTACTAGGAAGATAGTTCTATGACACAATATTAACAATGTACTTTTTTTTTCTTGTAGAGGTATTTCCTTTTGCATTTGCGATTGTTTCTGATGAAACTTTGGACAATTGAAGGTGGTTTCTGCAAAGGATATCGGATGTCTTGCTATGCTTTTTTGGGTTTGATTTTAGTTTTTTGTATGAAATGGTATTAACAATGTACTTCTAGAACATGGTATTAACAATGTATTTCTATGATATGGTATTAACAATGTATTTCTATGATATGGTATTAACAATGTACTTCGGGCTTGTTTTGAGTTTTTTTTATTTTTAGTTTTTTGTGTTGGGCTTGTTTTAAGTTAATCAATGACAGTCATGTAATTTATAGGAACTTCAATTAGAGGTGGTTTCTGCAAAGGATATATTGGATGTCTTGCTCTGCTTTTTTTGGGTTTTTTGTTGTTGAGTTTTTTATATGAAATGGTATTAACAATGTACTTCTATTATATGGTATTAACAATATACTTCTATGATATGGTATTAACAATGTACTTCGGGCTTGTTGGGCTTGTTTTGGGTTTTTTTTTAATTTTTTGTGTTGGGCTTGTTTTAAGTTAATCAATGGCAGTCATGTAATTTATAGGAACTTTAACACTCATTTCTTATGTAGTAAATGGTTTTTGGGTATGTTTCTAAAGTGCATTTCATGTAGGGTTTTTTTATAATTTCAGCCCCTATTTTGGGTATATTACTAAAGCTCCCTTATTTTTTAGAATATGAAAAATTTATAAATGACTTTTCAAATGAATGTATCTCTCAAAAAGAAACAATTTGGACAAAATGATAATATTTCAGACACAAACAGAAGCCTAAAAAGAGAAAAAAATAATTTTTAACTTAACAGTTTTCAGTGTACCATTTTTACCAAGACCCAAGAAAGAAACGTAATCTTTTTCAGACAGTAACAGTTGTCTTTAATCTTTGTTTAACTTTGTAACTAATCAATTATTAATTAATTTTCCAGTTTCGTATTTGCCACGTAGGGTCGGTGCCCGATCCATCTTCGCGCTGCCCGAATCCAAACAACAGCAAAAACAAAAAAAAAGAAGAAAATTAAGAAAAACAAAAGAAAAGAAAGCGAGAGTTGCAGACACACAGGTGCCAAGGACAAGGAGACGGGTCTGATAATTTTCTCCTTTTCAGTCCACTACGCTTCTCTCTCTCTCTCTCTCTCTAAATTCCTACGGATTTCTAATTCCCTCTCTCGTATTTGCTTTCTCTTCCCAAAACCCCTCCACTCTCACTTCTTCTTAGAAATTCAATTTACCCTTTTTGTTCTATCTTCCCATTTTCCTCAATTGGCGAATTCTTTTGCATTTCGGGAAACGCCGGAAAGGTTCGTTCGTTCGGGTCGGGTTTGGGTCGTCGTAGAACCGGATAAGGACGAGATCTGGCTAAACCTATTTCTTGGGTTCGAAATTGTGATCCAATCGGAGCTTCAGTGAATTACCGTTTTGGATCCGATCGGGGGAGAAACAGCGCCATCAGATGGCGCTGTTCAGACGATTATTTTATCGGAAGCCGCCGGATCGGCTTCTCGAGATCTCCGAACGGGTGTACGGTACGTCACCCTTTCGTCTCTCATTGACAATTTTGCGAAATTCTGGTTTTTTTGTGTGCTCAATTGTTGAAGTGTCGTGTGGTTTCGGGGCAATGCCATTGAATTTGCGTCAAATTGAGAGTTTTTTTTTGGGGTTCTTGCTGTAATGCATTATGCTCGGTGTACATTTTGTTGTAGAATTATCCTCATTATTTGTGCGCACATGTTGTTTTTTTGTAAGTATTGAACAAATGATGGGAAGTAGTTCCCTGCTTTGCTTGAATTGTACAATTGATACTTTGATATGGTAAAACCAGCTGAGGTAGAGCTGTAGAGTTACAAGAAAAGTTGAGGAGATTGAATTTCACTGCTTCTGTTAGTGAGTCACTCTGAAACTGTATTCTATTCATATTGGCTTTATTGCGCTCTTGATCATGTGCCTGATGTTGAAATGGAGCTCAATTGAGAAAGAAAGATTTTAGTTCTCCTTCTTGGTCTAAACCTTTTGTGGGTTGTGAGAAATGTAGAAAGGTTTCGTCATGTGACATTACCGTCTTTTGAGAAATTAAGATATTCTTCTCTCTGTAATTTCTTCAACATGGTTTTTCTTTAAAAACTGATAAATTTGTTTGAATAAATTGTATATCATTGCTTTATGGATGGTGGAAGTTTATGCATTTTTTATATTCTTTTCTGTTTCGATGCTCTTATGTGGATTTTATTTCTTTAGCAATTCTCTTAGTTGAAAATTGTGATACATTAGTGTCAATGGGATTGATTGTTACTTCCTTTTCCTCTTTATATGCAGTTTTTGATTGCTGCTTCTCCACCGATGTCTTGGAAGAAGATGAGTACAAAGTATACTTGGGTGGCATTGTAGCACAATTACAAGACTACTTTCCAGATGCTTCTTTCATGGTGTTTAACTTTAGAGAAGGGGACAGGCGGAGTCAAATTTCAGACGTGCTATCTCAGTATGACATGACAGTTATGGATTACCCTCGGCAATATGAGGGTTGCCCACTGTTGCCACTAGAGATGATTCATCACTTCCTTCGATCAAGTGAAAGTTGGTTGTCATTGGAGGGGCAACAGAATGTGCTGTTGATGCACTGTGAAAGAGGAGGATGGCCTGTCCTTGCGTTTATGCTTGCAGGTCTTCTGCTATACCGTAAGCAATACAATGGGGAGCAGAAGACTCTTGAAATGGTTTACAAGCAAGCTCCTAGGGAACTTCTCCATCTTTTGTCTCCTTTAAACCCACAGCCTTCACAGCTGAGATATCTTCAATACATTTCACGAAGAAATTTGGGATCTGACTGGCCTCCATCAGATACACCTTTACTTTTGGATTGTCTGATACTTAGAAACCTTCCACTTTTTGATGACGGAAAAGGTTGCAGGCCTTTCATACGTGTTTATGGTCAAGACCCTTCCACACCGGCTAACAGAACTTCTAAGCTTCTCTTTTCAACTTTAAAGAATGAAAAGAATACCCACCTCTATGTACAGGTAATGTCTACTTCATGCAACAAAAACTGATGAATAAGATAATTTTTTTTGAAGCGTTCTTATGAATCCTAATCGCAGGCAGAGTGTGTGCTGGTAAAAATTGATATTCGTTGCCGTGTTCGAGGGGATGTGGTTCTTGAATGCATCCACCTGGATGAAGATCTCGTTCGTGAGGAGATGATGCTCAGGGTTATGTTCCACACAGCATTTGTACGGTCAAATATATTGATGCTTGGCCGTGATGATATTGATATTCTTTGGGATGCCAAGGATCAGTTCTCAAAGGACTTTAGAGCAGAGGTATGTTATTGTTTATTTTATATTGATGTCCTTTTCTGAAGCTGTAGGAGTTGAATGCATACTGAAATCTGTATCAGGTACTTTTTCTGGACGCTGATGCTGTTGTGCCTAATCTCACCACAGTTGTGGCAAGTGAAGATGGAAATGAGACAGGGAGTGCTTCACCTGAGGAATTTTTTGAGGTGGAAGAGATCTTTAGCAATGTAATGGATGCACAGGAAGTGAAGGTGGACTTCCACACTTCCATGACTCACAGCAATACTCTCAAAGATATAGATCAGAAAGAAGTCTGGAAGGAGGATTTAGATCCTCATGCATTCCTAGACTGTACATCAGATGATGGGAAACACAAAAAGGACAGAAAGGCGGATTCTAATATTGATGCGGTGAAGGACATTGCTGTTGACGACGTGAAGTACAAGCTGGATGAGGTGGATTCAAATCTCGATGCAGTGAAAGACATTGCTGTGGATGATGGAGATATGAAGTCAAATTCCATCGTGATTGCTGCTGATGTGCGGAATCAGACTGGAACTAAGGAAGTGGTAGAAGAGGTGTGTCGGAAATTGGAAGAGATGGAAGATATAATTAATGAAGAAGACTCGGCTATACAGAAGAGGTTCGAGACCAAGATTTCACAACAACAAGTGAGTGCTGAGGTCTCTAGACAAAAAGCTGAGAAATTGCAGCCACCTGCTTCTAGGAAACAGCCTTCATTGAACACAAAAGTAGCTGCAGAAACAACCGTAGCAAAACAGAAGACTAAACAACTAGAAACTCAGGGTCCTTCGGCAAAAGTAGCTAAACCAAACGCAGTATCTAGGTGGATTCCCCCTAACAAAGGCTCTTATACTAATTCAATGCATGTTTCATATCCACCATCAAGATATAATAGTGCACCAGCTGCTTTTACAAGTATTGCTTCTTCAAAAGATACAAATGCAAATGCTAAATTGAAGGCTTCTTCTGTTAATACTGCTTCTGGGACTGTAGTTTCGAAGGATGTGGAAAATGAACCTAAACATAGTAAGGTGGATGCTTTGAAGCCTTCAAAGTCTGCACCAGAGACACTTACGGAGACACTTGCATCCTGCTTGCCATCAACACTACCACCAATTCAAGAGACAGAGTCTTCCTCTATTTCAACAGCACATATTGGCCTACAACAAGTAGTGCCCACTCCACCTCCGCCTCCACCTCCTCCACCTATGTCTCACATCTCTTCATTGTACACTCACCCTCCTAAGTCTTTGTCACCAGCTACCTCGTTGTCACGGGTAGCTGCAACAGCAACTCCTCCACCTCCTCCTCCTCCTCCACCACCACCACCTCCACCGCCACCTCTTCTAAGTACAAATTTCGTCTCCTTGAAGGCCCCTTCACTCTCTTCCTCTTTTCTATCTCCTCCCCCACCTCCACCTCCACCTCCACCTCCACCTCCACCTCCACCTTTATCTGTTCCGTCATCTAGGAGGCAGAATACCGGTATAGCTTTTCCCCCTGCACCTCCACCTCCCCCTCCCTTGCAATCTGGTGGGCAGAATAGTGGCACCATGTTGACTTCACAGCCTTCTTCATCTCTTTGGAAGGTTGGGTACTCTTCAGCTGCCCGTGTTATGGTGGCAACTTCTCAAAATTCACCGCCTTTGCAGTTGAAGTACCCACTCTACCACCACCACCACCACCACCACCGCCACCACCACCTGCTTGTGTTACTCCACCTCCTCCTCCATCGCCTCCTCCTATGGCTAGAGTATCATCTACTCCACCTCCGCCGCCCCCACCTCCTTTATATGGAGCTCCACCACCACCACCACCTCCAATGCAAGGAGCTCCACCCCCTCCACCGCCACCTCCTTTACGTGGAACTCCACCTCCACCACCCCCACCACCATTTTCAGTACATGGAGCACCTCCACCACCACCACCACCTCCAATGCATGGAGCCCCACCTCCACCACCCCCTCCAATGCATGGAGCCCCACCTCCACCACCCCCTCCAATGCGTGGGGGACCACCTCCACCACCTTCAGGGCATGGTGCACCTCCTCCTCCTCCACCTCCTGGTGGAGGTCGCCCTCCTCCACTGCCTGGAGCACCACCTCCGCCACCACCTCCAGGGGGTCGTGGTCCTGGGCCTCCTGCTCCACCTGGTCCTCCAGGTGGTGCTCCACCACCTCCAGGAGGTCGTGGTCTTGGGCCTCCTGGGAGAGGGCGCGGACGTGGGATTGGGGCTGCTGCCACAGCACCTCGAAGGTCCTCCTTGAAACCACTACATTGGAGCAAGGTGACAAGGGCGTTGCAAGGAAGCCTGTGGGAAGAACTGCAAAGACATGGAGAGACTCAAACGTAATCCATTTTATTTTTCTACTTATCATTGCATTAGTAGGATGTTTTCTATAAAAAAAAAATTATGTTGTTGCTTTGAAGGATCATACATGTTCCACACACACATTCATTCCTGATCACTAATGTGCTGCTCTTTACTCTAGTGCGCCAGACTTTGACGTGTCAGAGATAGAGAGCCTTTTCTCTGCTACAGTTCCAAAACCTGCTGATTCAGGAGGTAAATCTGGAGGGCGCCGCAAGTCTACTGGTTCCAAAACTGAAAAAGTCCACCTGGTAATTTTATATAATTGGTTATTTTGCTGTATAATCATTGCATCTTCTAAAAGTTATACTTGTGAAAGGGGATTCTTTTGATTGTTCCTTTTTGTGGTTATGAGATTCGATTCTTCTTTTCCAGACTTTATTGCCTGCCTTATTTTGAATAATAAAGTGTACAAAGTTTTGTTCCTATAACAAAAGAAAATGTAACTTGCAATTTTTCAAGGATGAAGACATGGAAAAGTATTTTGTATGTGCTAATATAAAGTTTTTCTCCTGGCTATCCATTGTGGCCGCCTTCCTTTTAATGCTTTGGACAAAAAATTCATTGAAATAGTGTGGGCAGGAAACTGTAACATGACTTTTCATATATTTTCAACACCTGTATATCAGATATGTTCTGTTAGAATGAAACTATTTGTCGTCCATCCCTCCATGCCCCTGGAGTTTTTTTTGTGTATAGTTGCACTTAATATTGATTAGTTGAGTGTGCAATGATGCCGCTTGTTACCTATATTTGTTAAAGCAAAGATTTATTTGATGAAGTTTCTTTTTTCTTTTTGCAATATAATGTTAGATGCTATTACTTCTCTACTTTCTTACTATGATTCGCTGTGTACCACATTTTAGATTGACCTGAGAAGGGCAAACAACACTGAAATTATGCTTACAAAAGTTAAGATGCCGCTCTCTGATATGATGGTAAGCTGACACAGTTGAATTTCTTCTTCTTTTTTCCTTGAATTTAATTTTCCACGCTGTGAATATAGATAATTTGCATATCTGATGAATCTTCCTTATTGGCTTTTAATTTCCAAATTTCGAATGCTGATGTAATAATTGAACATTTTTCTTACTTAGCTAATGATGTATTGTTATGCATATTTTCAGGCTTCAGTTTTAGCAATGGATGAGTCAGTATTAGATGTTGATCAGGTGGAAAATTTAATCAAATTTTGTCCTACTAAAGAGGAGATGGAACTTCTCAAGGTGTAGCTTCTATTTTATTTAGAATATTTTTTTACTATTTGTTGGTTATTCTTTAGTCCTTGTTCACATTTAAGAGATTTTCACTTTTGTATTTGCTTTAAGTGTCGCCATCTTCTCATTAAATTATATATTTGCTTGGTTGTGATTTCTGTTGTTTAGAATTACACTGGTGACAAGGAGACGCTGGGAAAGTGTGAACAGGTATGCCAAATTCACAACATTTCATTCTTGACCAGGCTATATTATTTTCTTGAAGTATTTCCCTGGGTAGATTTTTTACTATGATTGAGTTATTACCTCTGGCCCTTTCTGTGTCATATACAAAAGCTTTGACTGGGTTTTGAATATTTTAAATTATGAAATTATGAGATTATGATTCAACTCTTCTAATGTCCCAATGATCTTGTCCTCCTTGACGTTATAATGTTGGAGAGACTGATGACGTTATGTGCATATTTGATTTTTATTTCTCTTGAATATTTTTACAGCTATAAGTAATTGTCAGATATATAAAGTCTATGTACATTTGTTATGTTTCAGTACTTTTTGGAGTTGATGAAAGTGCCTCGGGTGGAGTCAAAGTTGAGAGTATTTTCTTTCAAGATTCAGTTCGGCTCTCAGGTTTGGTAGTATCTGTTTTTTTTTCCCTGATGTCAGTAAATAAGACCTAAATAATATCTTCTTTGCATCATTGCCTGATTATTTAACTCTTTTACAGGTTTCGGAATTCAAAAAAAGTTTAAACACAGTAAACTCTGCATGCGAGGAGGTATGTCACTACTAAGAATGAATTGCTTCCTGCAGTTTATAGACACCAGTTTTAACTTGGTAATCGATTACTGCTCAATTAGGTTCGGAACTCTGGCAAGTTGAAGGAAATTATGAAGAGTATTCTTTTTCTGGGGAACACACTGAACCAAGGAACTGCAAGGGGTAAGTTGTAGCGGAAGTTTTTTATGTTTCTTGACTTAGGGCATAGTAGGAAGGTTCTTTTATATGTTTCTTAAAGTAGATACTTGGGCTATTTTACGTCTCCATGAGTAGCATGGTCAATGTTGTAGACTGGGATGTAGCACTGCCTCAGGTCTCTGAATAGCTTTTAGAAGCTTGTGTGCCATTTGATTTAACCATATGCAATACCTTGGGGAACATTGTGCTGCTGTTTGAAAATTCAGAGCACTGTTGGGTTCGAAGAGAGATTTGATTAATCTTTGCATCACGTTCTTCTATGCATTGTGCTTCTGATTGAAAGTTCAGAGCACTGTTGGGTTCGAAGAGAAAGATAGATTAATCTTTGCATCACTTTCTTCTATGCATTGGCCAGTAAATAATTCAATTAGGCTTCTACAGTCTATGGTCTATGCCCAACTTTATTCTGAGGCATGTGCTTCACATGCTGAAACTGTGTACAATTTTTTAAGCTGATACCAAGGACTTGATCATGGAATTTTTAGATGGGCCTAGGAATTTATCCTTTACAGCCAAGACCGGCAATAGCATCCATTATATTTGAAACCATTTCTTTGCACTTGGCTTAGTTTGATGTTATTTTTCTGATTTTTCTTGCATACTTATTTTTTATATTACAAAACTGGTTTCACAATAATGTAATAATATTTCCCGAAGTAGCCTTGGTGAAATAAAATGAATTGTCAAATGTTTTATGCAGGTTCTGCTGTTGGGTTTAAATTGGACAGTCTACCGAAGCTCTATGATACACGTTCCATTAATAGTAAGATGACACTCATGCATTATCTTTGTAAGGTATGTTTCTTAAATTTTTTTGGTTATGCATATGAAACTTATGTTTTGTGGCTCAATGGTATATTCTATTCTTGGTGAGCTAGTTATATATAAGAAAGAAAATTCATGTAGTAAACTCAGAGGGACTGGATGTATTTTATTCTGGATAGAATCCTAGGTACTCTTTAAATATGATATGTCAGGTTAACATTTATGCTCTGTGTGGTGTTGTATTGTTGAGTTGTCAATCAAATTGCTTTCTTGTATTGTTGAGGTGGGCATCTAGTCTAGTATCATTGTAGCTTCTTTTGTGTTTTTTAATACAATATCAGTTCCTTTTCAAAAGAAAAAAGAAAAATTGAATTATGCTGTGGCTAGATGATTTAAGTGAAGCGCAGTTGATTCCCAACCCCAATGGTCTGGTCCAAAAAACCATAAGGAAAGATGTTTTAGTTTCTCCTTGAGATAATAGCATGATTGGAAGCAGGAAAACTATATGTTTTGCTTAGTGTTAAACTGATTGAGAACTGATGAATAAGAGATGATTGCTTGCAAAATTTATGTTTTCCTTGCCATATGTTTATGCATACAAGTTTTCAGATGGACATATTATCTGTGTTTTTTATAAATGAAAATACTGTTATAATTTGAATCTCAGCTTTGGCTTTCTTGTGTCTTAGACCCTTGCTTCTAAATCACCAGGACTTCTTGATTTTCACCAGGACCTTGTCAGCCTTGAACCTGCAACAAAGGTGCCCATCTGTTTCATTGATGTTAATTCTAAGCATTGTAGTTAGATTTGTATGTGACAGATCTCGCTTCCATGCAGATACAATTGAAGTCTTTAGCAGAAGAAATGCAAGCTATAATCAAGGGGTTAGAAAAGGTCAAGCAGGAGCTGGGGGCTTCAGAAAATGATGGCCCTGTGTCAGAGGTTTTCCATAAGGTATGTAGTCTTTCTTTTTTAATGCTTTTAAGGCTTAGTGAATGCCTTTATTTTCTTTGTCTGGTTTCTTTATCGGTGCCCTTACAAATTTTTTGTTCTTGTTTTCATTGTTGAAATTTCTAGACATTGAAAGAGTTCACTACTGTTGCGGAGACCGAAGTGGCATCTGTGACAAACCTATATTCTGTGGTGGTAATATGCTAATTGTGAACTGTCTCCTTGTCATCAGTGTTATTTTGTATTTTATGATCATAACTTTATCATTTAATTTTGACGGACAGGGTAGAAATGCAGATGCACTTGCATTATATTTTGGTGAGGATCCTGCCCGTTGTCCATTTGAGCAAGGTTAGTTGTGGATGTGATATTGATTCTTTAGATACTGAAATTAGCAAGAGGCCCAGATGCTGCCTACAATGGTATAAACATTGTAGTGCATTCTTGCATTCCCCAAGAGTATATGTTTTGAGTGGGTCCATTATACAGGTCTTTTATTTTCGGTGGGGGGAGGGGAGGGGGGTTATATCACTTTACATAGGCTTTTTACTCTTTCCATGTAGTAATTCTGAAGCTGACTGCAAACATATTGAACCCTGTTTTGATGAATGCAGTTACTGCAACTCTCTCAAATTTTGTTAAGTTGTTTCGGAAAGCACACGAAGAGAATTGCAAACAGGCTGAATTGGAGAAGAAGAAAGCAGATAAGGAAGCTGAAATGGAAAAAGCCAAGGGCATTAATCTCACAAAAAAGGCAACAAAATAGGTGAAAATTATAGTTGTTAAGTTGTTTTGGAAAGCACACAGAGAATTGCAAACAGGCTGAATTGGAGAAAATGAAAGCCGATAAGGAAGCTGAAATGGAAAGGCCAAGGGCATTAACCTCACACAAAAAAGTAACACAATAGGTGAAGATTATAGTCATGCTACCACTGCATGGGGAAATTGAGCTCTCCTGCCATACATAAGAGTGTTCGGTTGCAATGTTTCTAACCAGTGGCAAGGAGCATATTGTTTTTAGGACCCTGGTCAGAATCCTTTTCTCAGTACTTGTGCAAAGGAAAGCCCTTCAAGGTTTTATTTGGATGAGGGGAAGGGGCAACTAGTTGAGTCCTGCAGCATTTGAACTGTATGCATGAAGCTTAACTTATGCATGCTTGACAAGATGTTCAATCAAATGATCATGGTCAACTGATCAATCATGTTGGATATCGTACAAAGGAACCGGACCTTGGCTTTCACTCCGACAGTTCTATACCATGAATTGAGAAGCTAAGGTTCCCTAGGCAATCTGGTTTTGAATGCCATCATGATGTCGGATCTGGCCCCTCTGGCATCCTTCTGAGAGAGCAAGTTCAGTCTTGATTCAGCCTAGGAAATCTGGTTCTGGCTTTCACCATTCGTTTGGCATAAACTGTACAGCACCAAGGAAGATGCCTTTGGGATTGTAAAGCACACTCCTGCTGTACCATGAAATCGTGTACAAATCACACTAATCCTCTCCGTAGTTTAGAATTCAATTCATTTTCCTGTAACATAAAATTTAGTTCCTTGGTTCTTTTTCCTCGTTACATCAAAATTTTGGATAGGACCCCGTCATGATAGATGTTGTATAGGTAAATCAGGCTAAGAAAGAGAGTAGAAGACGGGGATTTTTCTTCTTTTTTTTCTTTTTTTCTTTTAGTGGTAATTGTAAAGTAACTGTAGGCTGATTTAGAAACTGCTTGTTTCGTTCTTATGGTTAATTTATGATTGAAGAACGAAGATGCTTTGCCCAAAAAAAAAACCAGAACGAAGATGCAACTCGTTTCACCAAAAGAAAAAGCAAAACGAATGAAGATACAACAAATAATTATTTTCTTTATTATTGACCTTGAAATTAAAAGATTCAGAAGAAAGCTGAAAAAAAAAGTAAAAATAAATAACAATAACAATGACAAATGCTAAAGTAATGGTCAATTGTATTTGCATGTTTCTAGTTTTGTACGCAATTACAATTAAAAAGTACAGTGAATGATAAAAATAGAATAAAGAACTTGCAAGGGCTTTCGATTGACAAGTAATTTCATATTACAATTACAATGGAATTTGACCAATGTCATGTGTCTATGCTAAATCAACACAGAACTAACTCACAAAAAGGAAAACCTATGTATCATCCACACTGTAAAAGTTGCCAATCTACTTGGCTGGCACAAAGCAACAATGACCATAAACAAACTCGTGTACAATTTTAATCTACTTTTTGTTCCCTGTGCTGTGCATAGGATCACTTGTCCTAATTTCGGATGCTTTATGTCTTGAAAGTTGCCTGGTGGTGTGATTACCAAGCAAAAGAAATCAACTTTGAATTCAAGATTGAAGAATGAAGATACAAACAATTTGCAATACCTTTTTTTTTTTTCCTATATTCTTTCCGCTGAAAATGAAGAAAGAACGATATTGGATTGGTTCTTTGAAGGGTCCTTTTGGTTGCTTGAATCAAATTCATGGAAGCTCTTTCAGAGTCTTCAAATTTCCATAGCCACCACAACTTTCTTCGTCTCTGTATTCGATCCCACAAGAGTGTTTACCTTCTTGATCAGCCCAAGAACTTGGCTTGCAGCTTTTAAAGAACATAAAGCTCACAATTGTGTCAAGAACAACAAGAACTGAGTACAAATAAGCAATCAAAAGCCCCTCTAAAGTCACGGAAGATCCAAGCTTTCCTGCAAAATGACAAGCTCTTACAACCCGGTATTGGAACAATGCTTCGATTGCAGCCAGGGCCAAGTTGACAGGCAGAGCCAGAGACAAAGCAGTTGCAGTTCTTCCTCTTATCAAAATACAAGCCTTGAGAATTGCCAAGTAGCCACCACTCCTCTCTGTCCCTGATAAAACCAATGACAAGTTGCATATTATGACAGCATTGGCAACAACTATAGAATAAAGAACAGCCCCAGATGCTGATAAGAAGAGGAGGGTGTTGGGAGACGAGAACCCAAATCCTTCAAGAAAATTGAAGGCAATGAATAGCAGAGAAAACACGGTTGCATTAGCAGAGAGGATCAAGAATGAGTTGAAAATATGGGTGTGGAGGAGTGGGATGTAGAGAGAAATGACAGAAGAAAAAGAAGGGTGTGATGAGAAAGTTGTTGGCTTTTGGTGATTGAGATATTGAATCACAGAGGCTTTGGTTATGAGCAAGAAGGTGAGGGTGAATGGTATGGTGAAGATTGAGGAAGAGATTGTTTGGGAAAGTTTGTGGTTGAGAATTGAGAAGAATTCTGAAGAGGAAGGGAAGCCTGCAGCATCAAAAAGACTCTGAAGGCGGTTGTAAATGGTGGGCAAAAGAGAAGAGCTTGAAGGAACCAATGCTTGAGAGATGAGAACTGAAGCTGAGAAGGGTAAAGCAATGAGTGCCACAATTGAGGTGAAGAATTGGTAGTTCTGAAGAAAAGTATGGACTGAATTTCTCAGAATCTTGCCTGCTTTTGCCATTGAAATTCTTGGGTGGTCTTCTTGCATTGCAAGGGAAGAGAGATGTAGATATCAAACTGGGTGTGTAAAACACCAATAGGGTGTATATTAGAAGAGACTTGGGTTTTGCTCTCTCTCTCTCTCTCAGTCTAATTGGTTGGTTAGAAAGAGGGATTAAGGGGGTTGGTGTTTTGGATGCCTGGACTGGCCAACAACTAAAAACTAACAAATTTGCAGAGGTGGAGTTGTTTTGGCAAAGCTATTGTTTTTATCAAACAAATTCTTCGGACTCTTTTGGGCTTATTTTTTGTGTCTTTGTAATCTCCAAATTCCCAACATAGTAATTGGCAGAAGGAGGCCTGTTGTGGCAATTTCTTGATGTAAATTTATGAGCTGAAAGAAACCTTTTCTTCCTCATGGCTTGGCTTTTGCTGATACAAAGAGTGCCTGTTTTGGATTGCTTCTAGCACACATTGTTTTTGCGTTTTTTCTCTTTTCTTTTTGTTTCATGATGATAGCATTATTTTCTTGCTTATTATAGTTAGCTATAGCCTCATTACTACTCATGGGAAAATTTAATTTTTCTTGTGGGATCCGCTTCCCTTGAATCCTAAGTATTGCTTTATTTCTGTTTTGTTTTATACATTTGATTTGGATGTAAAATCAAAGGAAAATATGGGTGAGATTTGGACTTCAACTCTATTAAAAGAAAGGTAGTTTTTATTGTTTGCCAAATATATCTATAAATTCTATATAATCATTCTCAAAGGGCAGACATGAGCTTAGCTAGCTAAGTTGGTTAGAGCGGATGTGTCGCCCGCTTGCACTCGAGTTCGAATAGAAAATCTAGTTAAAAGTGGATCAATAACTTTATTTTATTTATAAAATTGGTTGTAATCTTGTAGGTAGTTGGTCCATAAATTTCTGAATAGATAAATATTTGGCATTCACGCCACATATAAAGTAGGGTCCGTAATTCCTTATTTTGTAATGTTTCACGTGGCACGAGTTATATAATTCTTAGCTTGCAAGATAATTATAATAATAGCTACCTATGAAAGAAACAGGAAAAGGAAATGTGGAAAATCTTAAATACAAATCTGCTTAGACTAAGATGGGTTACCTTCTTATTATATGATTATATCAACAATTATTTATGATAATAATTTAATTCAAATTGAATCCATCAATACTTGTGAACATAAATCCTCACCGTCCATTTTGACATTAATTGCATCCCTGATAGATGGCTCCACCTCTTGAAATTATGCCACAAACACAATTGCACATCATCTATTTTGTCATGAATAATTCTAATGTGTATTTTGCTGCATTTTAATTATTTATACATCCAATCAAATCTGATAATTAGGATCCATCCATAAAGAGTGAGTGTTGCACTCTTTTAAAATGCGGATATAATATTGTTGATAATTCCATTTTAAAATTGTTGATATTTTTCGATTTAATTATGGATATGTTGTTGATAAACTTATATGCTTCATTTATATATATATTTTTTCTTTTGATAAAGCGATATTCTAGAAGTATTATAATGTACGATGAAGGGGATTTAACTTGGAGACAAGGGACGGACACACTTTTTTGATCAACTGACCTAATCTAAAAAATGGTATGTATAAAGTTGATTGGATTAATGATTTAAAATGCAATAATATGAGTGCAATTTCTGCCCAATAAGGTACAAAGATGATGAGGTACTTATCGTCTTCATAATGCCGTTGGTGCGCGGACTTTTGTCTTGGTCGGGTGGTTACTTGCCTACTTAGCTTGAGAGTTCTGTATATGCCTATATTGCCAATATTAATTAGGTTTGATGGAATATAGAAAGAGCTGTTTTGCTTTGGTGAGGTGTCTGTGTTTCTGGTGACCTTCTAACTGAAAAGTACTTAAAGAAAAATATGTTATGGTTGATGAGTAACAAACTTAAATTAATCCATCCCTGCTAAATATATAGATAGATTACATGTTTGAAATAATATGAGTTTAGTTGATATGTGTAATTCGAAGATATCAAGTATATAATTTTTTTGAATAATAGTCTAAACTATAAACGGAGGGGGGTTTCTCTCACACACTACTAAGGTGTCGTGGGGATTCGAATATGAGATTACTAGTCTGTAAGTCAAGACTCTTTTTCACTGAGTTAGACCCCGTTGAAAGAGGAGGTTATCACGTACAACTTTTTACTTGATAAAGAAGTGAACTCAAAAAATTCACTCGTGGCAACATAATGACAATGGCAAAGTGAAGCACTTCACATAAATAGACCGGCATAATTAATTCTGATTTCTTACAATCAAAGCGAAGTATATATGTTCCTTCTGGGCTGTAGATAATTGGCTATGAATCATGCACACAGCAAGATGCAAATGAAGTGAACCGTGAACATGGAAGTAGAGTCAGCATTTTTCATGTGCAGTAATTTCTTTCTTTATATACAAAACGACCTAAAAACAATTAAGACACCCTAATTGGGATTATTAATTATAATTTATTGCAAATTCAAATCCAAGACTTTTCCAACAAAGGATAGAGAGATCATAGCATAAAGTTGATAATAAATTATTCAAGAACACACATCAAGTTGGCAATTTTTATTATTTTGTGTTTGAAGTTTATTTGGCAAGAGTTGTTCGATCTACCAAATTATTGGAGCAATTCCATTTCATTTTCTTATTGTGAAAAATTATAGACCATATATGGGCTGTAGCCTAGCAAATCAAATTCTCTAGCCTTATAATTGATTTTGATTCTTCAATAATGCAAGATATTAGTTCTATCATCAAATGATTATGTTTGCAAATGACCACTTTTGTACAAAAAAGAAGAGTAAAAATTCAATGGGTTATTGAAAAAAAGCAATAAAATTAATGAAAGAAACAAAAAAAGATTATGCGCTTCTTGCATGATGGGAATTGAACATGACTCAAGATTCCAAACTCACCACATTTTGTGTGGAAACTTACCAAACCCTCCTTTGATTTGTTACCACCAAGAAATCAGATTAAACATTGTTTTAACCTAATCCTATTGTCCTTTATTGTGACATTATCCACCTAGAAATTGTACTACTTTTATTTGTTCTTTCAAAAACATTATAAAGAGAAAGAACCTATTAGTGTAGTGGTTTGGAACAATTACTCCCTCATGAAAGGTTAGGAATTCAAATCCTAGAATCTGCATAGTATGTGTGAGTTTCGTATATTGTCACCCCTTTCAATGAGAAATATCCTAAAAAAATCAATATAAAAATATTTTAATGATTACGTACGTTATTGTTGGGACCTATCTATCCACACACCTTGTCAAACATCTCAAAGTACACAAAATAAAATATTGAAGAGGATTTATAATTATCTAAATCAACTTGGTGCTTATGGCATTCTAATTGATTAGATCAGTTCCAACTTAAGTGTCAATGGGTTAAGTCAACCAAGTTATAGCACACCAAATGACACCGATTGAATAATATAATAATATTACATTTTTGGAAGTGGATGTATATTTCTAATTTTTTTTATGAAAAAAAAAAAAAAAAAAACTTCAGTATATATTATTGAAAGCAACTTCCTTGAAATGAAAATCATGAGTACTAACCATGGCCAATTTAATTTGTTTTTAAATTTTTTATTATCTGTCCTATAATTTAAGCTTTTTGGGCCTGTCGGTGGTCTCCAAAGGGGGACCTGAATCCAATGACCCCCATTTTTGGGCTTAATGCTCAATGTAAAAGGCACCTGGACCAATGTTGAAATAAGGCAGCTGATGGGGTTTGCTCATCTTAATTTGAGCCTTCCTTTGAAGGTTTCTCAGTAGAAATTGGGCTAGTGCTGCCTGACCCAAGCTAGTTTATAGTTGGGCCTAAACATGACCTAACCCATACTATATTACTAATCTTACAGTAAATTACATTTTACTCCCTTGCAAGAATTCTGTAGTGAGGGCTTTGTGTATGGCTCTTAGGTGAGGTTCTGTCCCTTAATCGTTGAATTAAATTAGTTAGCCGTTGGATAAAATTGGTTAGCATGATCCAACGATTAAGAGATAATACCTCACCTAAGAGCCATATATAAGAACCTCACTTAACTATGGATCATATAATTCACTATGAACAAATTTTTATTAATTTTTTGGACGAATTCACTTTGAACCGAGAAGTTTGCATCGCATTGCAATATGATCCTTCCGTCACAGTTTCCGTTATTTTTTGCCTACTTAAAAATTAAAAATTAAAAATTAAAAACTAGTTAAAAAAAGTCCAGCTAATAAAAGTATTTACAGTTTCCGACAACAATAAAAAACTGAAAAGGTCACCACAAACCCAATTGGGTTGGCATGGGCAATTGGATTTTTTTAAGAATAAAGAGACATCTGTGGGTTGATGGTGCATCGTGCAAAAAAAATATTAAATCATAACCAGACAATTTATAGGGCCGCCAATTATGCACACAATACACTGAGAAGAACCCACAGATGATGTAGACCAAGTTCTTTGCTTCCAAACTCATAACGACAAACAAAACAAGCTTCCAATCTTCCACATTGTTTCATATTTCATACATATAGTGATTTGTTTTTCATTTAACTTTTTCTTACATAGTCAAAATGTTTACTCTTTAACTTATGACAGGATTTGAATCGAAACTCTATACTTACTTATTCCCGTTTCATTATCCCCATTTTTTAATTCTTTGCTCAAAATGTGGATAATAAAACAAGAATATGAAAGTTTTGTGTCAAACGACAAGGGCGAATGAAATAAAAAATGAGATGATAAAACCAAAAGAATAATGTGGACGTCTCCAAGTCAACGTGGCCTTATCTCAATCAAACACACCCTTAACACCCTTGCTCCACATAAACCCACTCACTCCTAGCCAAATTTGCCGTAACACCCTCCCTCGTTCCTTTTTGAGAATCTTGCACTCATTTTGACCACTTTTCTCTCTCTCTCTCTCTCTCTCTCTCTCTTAAATAAAAATAGTTTCTTGGTCTTCTTTCCAACTCACACAGATACACTAATATAACACTAATATAACACTAATATAAGGTTTAAGATTGGGTTTAGTGGACTTAAACAGAAATGTGTTGTCTTATGGTATTTGTAAGACGGTTGCCGTTTCAACCAACCAACCAACGGCATCAAGACGGCTTTTTAACGTCTGTCTCCAACTCATCACCTCATCACTCCACACGTTCAAATACAATGCTCTCTAATCACATTCATTAGCATTAATTAATCTTCTCTAACCAAATAAGGGAATATTATTAACATAATTTTCCCGGGGAAAATGAAAAGGTCCCGGGAATTGTCTCGGCTAATCCAATCGAGCCACGTGTGCAAGTCTTCATTTGTCA